AACTCTTGTCGACGGGGTATTCCCTGGACCCTTGATTGCAGCCCAGAAGGTTGTTTCCTGTCGACCTTCTTGTCGTGCACTAGTGCTGACCTCACAATAGGGAGATGACTTTGCCATTGAAGTGGTCAACGAACTCCGGGACGAGTCGATGTTTTTGAGTACCAGTGTCGTAAGCAACGTCAAATTATCGACATTATCAACAGTTGACCTTGTTTACCGCAGCACTGGCATGGTCTTTACCAGAACGGAACGAACTATGCCGACGGGGCGTCCTCCGTCACACAATGCCCCATTGCGCAGAATCACTCCTTTTTACACACTTTCTCCGCCCCGAATCAGGCGGGCACTTACTGGTATCACAGTCATTATTCCGTCCAATATGTAAGTATCACTTGAACCTTGCGCATGCAGGGGAGGACTGACCTGTGGAACAGTGTGATGGCTTGAGGGGGCCCCTGGTCATCTATGATCCTCATGACCCTTTAGCACACATGTACGACATCGACGATGGTGAGCAAGCAATTCATGCATATTAACCCCCTCTGACCATCATGTATTGCCAGCAAGTACCGTAATCACACTTTCCGACTGGTGAGTTTTACGAATGTCAATAATTTATCCATCTAAAGTAATATCACTAGGTATCATACTGTAGCCACCGTCTTGCGCTACGTCATAGGTAATACCGCCAGCTCTTCGCTCATCAATGGACTCGGTCGATATGCTGGCGGACCAATGTCTGCTCTTGCTGTGATCACCGTTGAGCAGGGAAAACGTTATCGCATGCGCCTGATCTCAATGTCGTGCGATCCCAACTTCCAGTTCTCCGTCGATGGCCATAACCTAACCGTCATCGAAGCGGATGGCGAGCTGATCGAACCTCTGGTGGTAGATCAGCTCCAGATTTTTGCGGGTCAGCGCTACTCTGTGGTTCTGATGGCCGACAAACCGGTGGACAATTACTGGATACGCAATCTTCCTAATACAGCGAATGCTTCCTATGAGGGAGGAACGAACTCTGCTATCCTGCGCTACAATGGCGCGCGCGAGGTCGAGCCGGCTACCATCAATACTGCATCCAAAAACCCATTGGCGGAGACCAACTTGCATGCTCTGATCAATCCTGGTGCCCCTGGCATTCCAGAGTATGGGAAGGCAGATATCAACCTCAACCTCGAGGTTTCCGTCAACAACGGAATCTTCTACGTTAATAATGCGACATTCAAACTCCCCACCGTTCCTGTTCTACTCCAAATTCTCAGTGGAGCTCAAGAACCGTCTCAGCTGCTTCCAAATGGGAGTGTCATCGTTCTCGAGGCTAACAAAGTGGTAGAGTTGACATTGTCAACAACCGGTTTTGGTGGACCCGTACGTTTTTTCGATTCCTTCTACGCTTACGTGCCTGATATATATCGTACCAGCATCCCATGCACCTTCACGGGGTAAGTTCGCCATGACTTTGATGGCATGTCTGGCTGGTACTGATATGATCACTAGCATTCCTTTGATGTCATACAGAGCGCGGGCAACAGCACCCTCAATTACGTGAACCCAGTTCGCCGCGATGTGGTAAGCACTGGCAGCCCTGGGCAGCAAGTGGTGATACGATGGGTGACTGACAATTCTGGCCCTTGGTTCTTGCATTGGTATGTGATCATGTTTATTGAACTATCAAGAAGAGCACTAAATCTGAACCAAAAAGTCATATTGACTGGCATCTCGAAGCGTATGTGGATGAACGTCCTCGCGAAAGAAATTGCTAATCTTTCACATCTAGCGGTCTTGCGGTGGTAATGGCGGAAAGTCCCTCAGGTACCCGCGCACATCTGAACCACATGCCACGTAGGTCATACATAAAGAACACGAAGTTCTATGGCTGAACTGTTTTACAGATGCATGGGATCAATTGTGTCCGACCTTTGACTCTCTAACGCCCTCGCAGTTAGGAGGTGGAGATCTCAAGTCTTATGAAGAAGCAGCTAATATTTCCACTCTTCTTTACCCACCACCGCCCCTCCCTTCAATGAAGTAATAGACGTCCCAGTGATTTTCGTTTATTAGGGGGGTATAATGTTCGCAGGACGACCTGCATGCGGACGAATTTCTTGCAGATCCTAATGGGACATTTTCTGCCATAATCCGTTGTAACTTTCTTGCCCCATCATAATACCATACTAGCTAATAATAATATCCAGAATGTAGCTGACCCAATATAGGATATGATGGTTAACCTTATAGTCGTGTCTTGACTACTTTATGTATCCAATGCACGAAATATCATGATTATGCTACGGTGTTCTGGCTGGGACTTCAGTGTCGCTGCAAAATGTCAAGAATTCGCACCTCCACCGACAGAAGTCTACATACACTGAAGGCCTCAAGCCACCTCCGTCGGATGTCCATACCAGACTAAATCGCAGCATGGTATGACAGGACATGTGGTGTACGACGTTGTCACACGTTGTGTTGGATCAGCTGGACGAGTGATCGAACTTGGAACGAGCAATAAAACATAATGTACGAAGATCAACACGAAGATGAAGATTGCAACCATTATGCGACGACATTCGACGCCCGCTGCGATTCCATTGTCAACTCAGACCCAGGCGACATGTAAAGGTGAGGCTGCTCACTGCATACTACAAGGTTATATGGTTAAATTTAGAAAAGGGCGCGCAAGTAGAGTCTGATCCTGAGGGATGGTTTTACGGAGCTCAGATCTCAGATATTCGTCGGCCACCGAATCTCGGCTGCGACGTGTTATTTAATTCGGAAGCGCGGGGGAGTGATGCCTTTTGCTTGTCAGATCAGAATTTGAGAATGACCATTTCCCATGTGAGTGCAACAACTGATAAAACAGCGTATCTGTAGAATCTCGACACCAACCTCCCAGTCGGACCACCCCTCCATCATGAACATGAGGTGACTTGCGCAGCCTTTTCTATGACGTGCCTTGACCAACTTAGATCACTATCCTGGATCATCGAATGTGACATGGGTCACCACCGGCGAATATCTAATGCGATGAACTGTCAGCTGCTGATGCTAGTGCCATCTACAGATGCCAGTCCTATGATTCTTCCTGAAATAACTGACTGTCTGAGAATGTGTATACTACGCCAACGAAGCCACTGCACTGGTATGCTGCACAGCCCGCAAACATGATGAAGGTCTGGCAATGTCAGTTCGAAATGGGACACATGGGGTATAGGGCTACGCTCGTCAAGGGAACGCGGCTTCCTGTCGAACTTTCTCGTGTCATTGAAGTTGTCCATCAGATACAGGAAGATGCGCCTGGCGCTAGTCGCAGAACCTGTGCATTTCATCTATACGGCGTGTAAGCTGTGAAGCGAACACGAAGATAAGACATAGGATGCACCTTAAAGAACGACATGAAGGAATGGGTGCCCAACTTTTCTAACTCCAATTCAAACGCCCACTGATTAATGCTGGTGGTTTGAATACCGGTTTGTCTAAACGGTGCTCCTCGTAGGTGATTGTCTAAGCTCTCTGCAACGTACCTACCTACTTACCAGTGACTTTGGCTACCCACTAAGATCTCTGCGTATTCTCGAAATACAGCAACTCCTGCATCTACAGTCCCAGTTGGTTTCTTGGCGGACTCAATTCCTACAAGCAGGCTGTGTGGTGAGCAATGGCTTGTGGGCTTTTATTAGCAAGAGCTCAAATAAAAGAAGATAAGGACGTCGACTCACCAGCAATTGCCATTGCCAGACAACTTTTCCTAATTCAAAGATCCCAGCGGGCTTCTCTCGCATAAATAGTCCAAGATCTGCAATAGTTTTTTTTATTTTATTTTTATGTCCAGTTTTTGTCCTATTCAGAGTTATACCCTATGAAGGACATTACAATCTATACTAGAGACACCTGTGTCTCGGATGCATCTCAGGTATGCGAATGCCCTGGCGTGGAACGTACTCCCGCCAGTCCGCCGTTCCTACCGGCTGTTTTAGACGCACTACTTGGAGGTGAGATGTCTATGTGCAGGCTATCGAGTTTGATGTTACTGGTGTGTACATATTCTTACACGTACTCCATCAGGAAAACCTAGGTGGACTTAATTTGACTTAAATCATCCTTAAAGTGCCTTATTTGACTTATTTGCAACTTAAACTTGAAATTTCGGTAACTCAAAATAAGGAGAATCAGTAGGTTATTTTCCTTAAAATGAGGCTATTTTCCTTAAAATAAGGTGAGTGGCACATTTAAGACATGTAAGGACACAAAAAGGATGCCATTAAGGAGCATGCGGATCAGACCAGGAGCTTTAAATAAGGCAAAATAAGGAGGTTCAAAAGTTTAAGGAAGGTGGTTATAGTGTCCAAACAATAGAGCGTGCTCAGGTATAGTATGCATGTGGTGGAGCAGCTGGTTGAAAGAGCAGGAAACGAGGGGGAATGATGATATCGTGGTAGTATCTGTCAATAGGTTAGTACACCAATTGGGGTGATTCTGAGAGGTACTTACTTGAAAAAAATGATGCGTCCTCAAGGCTCCTGTTTAAATGAATAAAGTTAGCGGTTGAAAAAAGAGGAAATAGATACACATTACAGATATGAAGGCGGGAGTGTTTGTTGACTGGGGTGGTGGAACCATCATCCGTTGAACTGCGATGATTGAAATGTGGGTTCTTCATATAGTTTTCCGACCGCTCGAGAATCTCTTGGATGCATTCATGGGGTAGAGTCTTGATACTGTCCATGTACACCAAAGTATCTGTCTCCCAATTTCCAGATGAAAACGCTGTCCTGGTATGGCTCATCTTATTAGTCACTTCATTAAGCGTCTGTACAATCTTGTGAGTTTTACCACCATTGTCAGTGGGGTTGCTATCAACCAACAACTGGTCTTTGACTAAGACGAGAGCGTGCTCAGCCTATGAAATATAGTTAACATTCCCCAACAATGAGATAAAAAAAACTTACTGCCACAGTTGTTAGCGCCAGTGCAGTCTGATATCCAGGCTTGCCAAATTCAACCAATGAATCCACCCTTACTTTCCCGGCAACTGTGGTGAGGTGTGCTGCAAAAATGTGTAGTATATATTCTGACAAGAAGGCACCAGGTTGCTCTTTGTTGTCAGGATCTTCATAAATGAAACAGCAATCCTGGAGTTGATACTCAGCATATTCCTTGCGGGCTTCCTGAGTCTCATAATCAGGTGTCGAAGTGAAAAAAGCCATCAAAACAGTGATGGCTGTTGAACCAAATGAAGCTCGCCATTCGTGGATCCTTTGGCTTACCTGGGAGAAGTGAATCAGTAGCTGTTATGAGTCAAAAATTGAATGCAAACCAGTTGAAAAGACAAGTCTTCAATGTCAAAACTACACCCTCCTTTGTTACGTGGATACACCTCATAAAATATTGACTCGAGAACAGACTGGAGCTCAGTCTCTGGTACAGTCCATCCATGGTCACTGTTACCAACCCAATACATCACACAGGGAAGGAACTTCATGTGCCATATTCTGTTTTCAAGGAGTCCACTGGGTAGGTGCGCATTTTTTGCCTTGCCTCTCTTGAGCTTCGCATGAATATTTTCTGATGCTACAGCCTCAGGCTCAGGCTCAGTCTTGACCTCTGCCTTGATCCTAGTAGTACGGCCTTTGGCCTGCTTTGTTGCGGGTTTCTGCTCTGAGACATCAACTGACATCTATCTGAGTATCAGTTCATCCCATCAAGATTGACCAATGACTTAGAGAGCTTGTGCGTTGTGCCATGCTAGCCTTATTCACCACCATCATGGAATCACTTCTGTCATCCTCCTCATCCTCAAGCATCTTGAAGTCTGAGTCTTCGCCATCATCCAGGTCTTTGAGGTTCTCCGGTTCTTCATCAGCCTCTGGATCCTCCAGAATCTCGAGTTCTTCTGCAGTGTCTGGACCCTGCATAATCTCAATTTCTTCTGCAGTATCTGGGTCCTTGAGTCCTTCTGTGGACAACTCTATTTCATCTGGGACTGGGAGTGAGTGCTTCTTGCCTCTTGAGGTGACTTTTGGTTTCTCCTTCAGATGCATGATGTTCTAACTTAGGTAAGTACATGTACACAGCTCAAATGGCCACTGACCTTTCCCCTCTGCGCTTTTGGTGCTGGCTCACTGTATTCCTCAGGTTTGTCATCAAGGTCCACATCAGACTCAGTGGGTCATGCTGTCTTGCCAGAGACTCACACACTTGGTGGTGCACTTGTTTTCAGCTGAGCTTGTGACACAACTTTCTCTGCCCAGTCAGGAATGGGCCCTGTGAGGTCAGAACTGATCACCTGCTTGAGATTGGTGCTGATATGGTATGCACAGATGTAATCAAAGTAATACAGAGTGAGTTCTGATAGAATCAGCATTGTAGCTAAAAGTGACTTATGACTTTTTAATTTTCCCATCGCCAATCATTGTTGTGCTCCCAACACATGTGTCACTGTCACTGGTACTGATTGTGACTCCACCATTGGACACCTTGTGATTAGCATTCACGCTGTCTTGAAAACTCAACTTCAATGCAGCATGTTTCTTTTTTGCTGGCTGACTGATCTCATTATCTTCAGCTGTGGTTGTTTGAGTGGTTATGCAGGGGTCAAAGTCATCAGAACAGGTAAGCAATTCAAGTGCTGAAATGATTGGAACTTGCCTGTAACTGCAGGTTGCTCAACTGCTTTCACCAGATTTGTGCTCTTTTTGCTGATGACCATGTGTGGCCTGATGAGCTTTGGAGGGCCCTTCACTTGAGTCTTCTGCTGGACAGCCATGGCATCTTCAGCTGCAGCAATCATTGTACATGATTTCTCCTCTGCCGCAGCATGATTAGCCTTCTCAAGTTCTTTCTGGTTCTTTTTGGCAGCAACTTCTTCTTTAGACTGGCACTGGACTCAGTTTGCCTCCTGGACAATGTTTCCTGGGTGCTTGTTGACATTTCCAGGATGCGTTTGTGGACGAGACATGAGGATACCAGGGATGAAAAGAGAGAGATGCTAAAATGAATGATGAAGGACTTAGAAAAAAACAACCAGCTAACGTGTTCAGTAGTTCAGGGTGAGCCTTGGTTGGTTTTCTGTCAACTCAATCTGACCCAAAATGAATAAGTTCACACAGTGCCATTACTTTGATTTGCCTGACATTGCTTCAAACAATTCTGTTCATCATCTCCAGTGAAAATGACCTTACTGAATTGTCGCATTCCTGGATGCAAAAAAACCTTCAGAAATAAGTCAGGCCAAACGAAGCATGTACGCTCAGCACACCCCATGCCTTTGTGCAATCGTCCAAGTTTCCATCAAGCAGCTCCCATGTCTCGCTCTCCAAGTCCTGAGAATCCTGCCTTTGACAATCAACAGGACTTTGGCAATGCATGTCTCTTGGAAGGTGCTGATGAAGCATTCATGCTGGAACAGGGTGTACAGTTGGGGCCTCTATTCCGGACATTCCACCTGCATCTCACAGGTAACAAAATTGTGCAATTCATTTATTTAAATCTAACTTTTAACATACTAGGATGCAAGTGCAATGTCCATGGCAACTTCATTGACCAGAATGCCCTCCCACCACCTCGAACTGAAGCATTACCCACCAACTGGACCCCATATGAAAATTGGGTCGCATTTGAGACAGCGGAATTCCTCTATACATGTAACCAAATGTCTGCAGGGCAGATTGACACCCTTCTTGACCTCTGGGCAGCCACACTTATCAAACATGACGACAGTCCTCCATTCACCAGCCACTGTGATTTATATGAGACTATCAATTCAACTCCTCTTGGTGATGTTTCCTGGCAGACTTTCTCAATGTCCTATAGTGGAACCAGACCAGCTGAGAATGTTCCACCATGGATGACTGCTGAGTATGATGTGTGGTTCCACAATCCACATCTACTGGTTCACAATATGCTTTCAAACCCTGACTTTGCTGCCAAGATTGAATATGTCCCATATTGGGACTATACAGATGATAATAAATGTTGTTACAAGAATTTTCTCTCTGGTGATTGGGCTTGGAAGCAAGTGGTATGTTATACTTCACACCTTGAACCTACTGTTCCTCGAACTAATAGTATGTTGCTATACAGGATATTATCACATGGGATCCAGAAACTCACGGATCAATGTTTGTGCCCCTGACCATTGGCAGTGACAAGACTATGGTCTCAGTTGCCACAGGACACACTGAATACCATCCGCTCTATTTATCGATTGGGAACATTTTCAATGGAGTTTGGTGCGCACATCACAATGGTGTGGTATTGGTGGGCTTTTTGGCCATTCCAAAAAGTGAGTCAGCCCCTTAACACACTTTTAAATTAATCCTTCTCACTACTCACACTATAGGCACAAAGGAACATTTACATGATAAAGACTTTCGCAATTTCCGCCATCAGATGTTTCACTCCTCACTTGCCAAGATTTTTGAGCTTGTGAAGTTGAATATGATGGTTCCCGATGTTGCACGCTGTCCTGATAGCCATTATCGGCGTGTTATCTATGGGTTAGGCCCATACATTGCTGATTATCCTGAGCAGGTGGCTCTTTCTGGAGTAGTCCAAAACTGGTGTCCAAAGTATGTCTCTTTCACTATGAATTTATTGACTTGTGCCTCATACTGCTTAAGATGCTTGAATAACTGCAAAAATCTCGATGGTGATGGTGAACCTTTACTCCGGTGCAGACATCACACCAACCTCGTGGTTCAGGAGCTCCCACACACCCACCTCTGGCATGAGTATGGAATCATCCAAGAGGTCATGGTATGTTGTTCGGTTCTCATTCACATTAACTTCTCAAATTTTTTCAGCCTTTCACGAATGATTTCCCTCAAGCAGATATCCACAAACTTCTCTCTCCAGACATCCTGCATCAAATCATCAAAGGCACATTCAAAGATCACCTTGTCGACTGGGTAGAACAATACTTGTTGCTCACACACTGGGCTTCAGATGCAGCAGAAATCATGGACAACATTGATCGAAGGTACAGTTCTTTTTTTAATAAATTCCTATATACACATTGGACTCAAAGTATTCTAACAGGATAGTGGCTGTAGCTCCTTTCACAGGTCTGCGGCGCTTTCCAGAAGGGCATGGATTCAAGCAGTGGACCGGTGATGATTCCAAGGCTCTGATGAAGGTATGTCATGTCAAAAGTTCATTATGATTTGCCAATTAACATTACAACTATCTAGGTATATCTGCCTGCCATCAGCGGTCATGTCCCTCAGGATGTAGTTCGTGCATTCAGCACATTCCTCAACTTCTGCTACATAGTCCGACAAGACACCCTTATGGAGGATGATCTCACCCAGCTTCAAGATGTGCTCAGTCACTTTCACCAGTACTGCTGTGCAAACACAACAATGGTTAGACACTTGTTAATGTGCCTAACCAAAAATATTGTTGTAGGTCGATGCTCTGCCTAGCTGTTACACTTGCAAGCAAGAACGTTCGACCCTAAAGGGAATTGCTACTGAGAACGGCTGATGATACTAAAGACCTGAAAGTGTGCAGAGCGCAGGAACAAGTGCATGGGTATGTAGAGCGCAGGAATGCGGAAGTGCGGTCAATGAGCAGTCAATGAGCAGTCAATGAGCGGTTGATGAGCAGTTGATGAGCGGTCAATGTGAAAGTGCAAGATGCTAGGGTATGGAAGTCTTAAGGAATGGCACGGGTAACAAGTGAGGGCAAGGGTATTGATTGCACGGGTAAAGAAAGTCAAGGTAAGGTGTCCAGGTATAAGGCAACCAATAGGGGCTAAAAAGCGCGCACTAATGGTGACTGCTCCTAAGTAAAACCTAGGGGAAGGAAATACTGCAGAAGGGAAGTAAATATGAAGTAGTCACTCTAGGCACTTTATACTAGCTAACCCTCTCAGAAATGGAAGGGACAGGACAGACAGGCAGTAGGAATATGTAAAGACATGTAATAAGGCTGCAACACTTGTTACAACACACAAGGCAAGGCAAAATACATACCAATGAGGTAGGATGGACAATGGACTGACACGGGACATCTGTAAGGTAGTCCGAAGGCGTGGTGTAGGGAATGAGATTCCTCCAGGCATAGATCACCCATATTATGACTCATGACAATTGGTACAGTGTACAACTCACCCTCCATGACTTTCCCACAAAACACGCCAGAGGCGCAATGCATTCCCACATTATGCGACGCATTCCCGTGCACGCGCTTAGCGCGCTCTTCCCACGCTTGGTCGCACTTTGTCATGCAGCATCCCAGAGCATCCATCCATTGTCCAACCAGTTCCCTAGTGAGTCCTTTCTTGTTTATTCTCATTATCAGACCATATTTAGTATTAGTATGACATTATTTCATCATGGACCCTTACTTACATACTTAGAGCACTCCCTGTTCACTTCCGAGCCCTGGGAGCGCACCTAGGCACAGCTTACCTGTTGCCTAGGAAGTTTTCAGACACCAACCACCACCACAGAAGAGGAAGACCACCATGTCAGTAGTCACCTAGAGTCAGAATCTATCATCTTCAGCCAGTATGCTTCAGTCATTGCCCTAGTCACCAGCAACAGTCCATTATCACTCAGCAGCCCCAGTTCACGCCTTCCATCAGTCTTTACACATCTGCACACCAGCTTGCACCTTATTCCCACGCTTCGCGCACCTATGCACTCCATATTCCTGCACATGTGCCCCCAGCGCGCTTCACCAGAGTTGACCTGGTGTCACTTCATGGATCTTGCTTTCTTTGCTTCCCTTAAGGGTCGAACATATCACCTGGCGCACTTTGACCAACACTTAGAAAGTCAGTAGGCCTTCCTCTCACCCCAGAGGTAGAGGTTTTCTTTCTTTCTTTAGCTCTGCAAGTCTAGCAGAGCTGTTGAACCTTCAGTGGGAAATCGACCGCAGGTATGCGCGCAGCACGGGAGTGAATGCGTGGGTCCGCAGAGCGTGGGAATACATGTCTGGAGTGGGTTGAGTGTGGGAAAAGCGGTCGATGGTTTTGTAGCTTTCCATCACCTATATCAAAAGATGGCCATTGCAAGCCTAGTGGGAATATGATCATCACACCACAAAATATTCAAGACCATGGGAGTTGTACTCAACTTCTCATATCCACGCCAACACTCCCTCAGTCACTACTCCCTCATGATCCAGCTCTTTGGTGCCCCAAATGGCCTTTGTTTGTCAATCACAGAGTCCAAACATATCAAGGCGGTTAAAGAGCCCTGGTGCCGCTCCAGCAGATACAAAGCATTAAGCCAGATGCTTCTCACCAACCAATGCCTCAACAAAATAGCTGCAGCCCAGAGTGATTTTGAAGCTCATGGCATGCTTCAAGGGTTGTGCCTGTCCAATGCATTGCAGGCACTTGGAGAGAGTGAGTGTATGCTCGAATACATGCTTTTTCAAGTGTTCTAACTGATATCATGCAGGTAATGGCAAGTTGCTGGACAACAGCACAGATGAAGATGAAGACAACAATGATGCACTTCAAGCACGTCCTGACTGTTTATGCCTCAATGAACCACAGAATCAGACTGTCAAGGGAGACTTGGTGGGCATCGTTGATGGACCTACTGTCCAAGCTCATGTAGAACTTGCGGCAGCACCTGGTAAGTCTTTGTCTTTAGGTCACACAAACTGTTTGCTCAAAATTCCTAGTGCCAGGTTGTTCACCCAATGTCCCTGCGCTTATGCTCGATCTCAACCTTCCAATCCTCCCTACATTAATCCAACAATTTCTTCATGACCAGCTTCATATCGACGATGATGAGCCACCCAAATTTGACCCTGCAATGGCACCTACTTACATGGGCAGGGTTTCTGTCTTTAGTTCGGCGGCAGCATCATTCTATGCCCCCAGTGACCTCAGTGGCACTGGAGGCATGCGATGCGAGCATATTCAGGCAATGCCATCATGGTGAGGGGGTCCTGCTAGGAATGACTGTGTCTTCGTCAGTATGAATGATGAAGTCAGTTGTGGCTTGGATGGGCTTGCTATTGCAAGAGTATTGCATTTTCTTGGCTTCAAGTATCAGATGAAATACTTGCGATGTGCAGTCATTCGCTGGTTCTCATACGTCACAGACAGCCAAGATCCTGACACTGGGATGTACCTTGTTGCACCATCGACCAATGATGATGGGATGCCAGATGTCTCAATTATTCATATTGATTGTATATTCCATGCAGCTCATCTTATTCCCCTCTATGGTTCCAATGTCTTACCTCGCACAATCACTCTTCACGACAGCTACAACATATTTCGCACCTTCTATGTCAACAAGTATGCAGATCATCATGCATTTGAGGTAGCGTGACATGCAGGTTCGTCGTCATCTTCTGTCCCCCCCTTGTGGTTTGATCATTTCACAGGACTACCTATACCCTGCAGCATTATTACAAGGACTATCTACACCCTGCAGCATTATTATCTAAGTAGCAGGACATGCAGGTCCATCGTCATCTTCTGTCCCCCCCTCATGATTGATAATTTACCAGGACTATCTATACCCTGCAGCATTATTACAGACTATCTACACCCTGCCAAACCCGGTTATGTGCTTGCTTCATCACACACCTTCCCTGGTTATGTGCCCGCTTCATCACGCACCTCCCCCGGTTATGCGCCCACTTCATCACGCACACTATCCATACCCTGCAGCATTACCACAAGACTATCTACACCCTGCCAAACCCAGTTATGTGCCCACTTCATCACACACCTCCCCCTGTTATGCGCCTGCTTCATCATGCACCTCCCCCTGTTATGTGCCTGCTTCATCACGCACCTCCCCTGGTTATGTGCCCACTTCATCTTCTCACCTCTGTGCTAGTATCAGCATGGCCTCGCCCATTCCACCACACTCAGTCGCAAACTCAGAGAACCCAGTGTAAGTCTCAGTCAATTTTCATTATTGATGAGTGATGAGAACATCGAGGGCATTGCCAACTTGCTCGCCACAATTAAATGAAGTGGCGGTGATGGTCACAATCATCCATCACACAACCTCCGATACTCAATTCACCACCATGGACATTAACACACGCACAGAAGATCCTATGGACATCGATTATTGAGCCGAAGATGAACAGTTCAATCTGGTGAGTTTTTATGTCTATCCCGCTGCACCTTTAATGTATTCAATTTTCGTCATTGCAGGCAGACAACATGGACATCAATGACACTCTGATGGATGAAATGGTACACTCACATGTTTTTTTTTTGCTTGTTCTAATTTTCGTCATCGCAGGCAGATAACATGGACATCGACAACATTCTGATGGATCAAAAAATGGTATGTTTACATTTTTTCACTCATTCTAACTACATTTTCGTCATTGTAGGCTGACAACATGCACATCAATGACACTGATCAAGTCACTCAGGATGCTATGGTGTTCCTTTACTCAACCAAGGTATGTTGATCTTTTTGTTTTGCATACCTTGTGCTTCATTATGTGTCACAGGCTATTGTGATCTTCAATGCAGAAGCCTTCAAATCATATCATTTTGCAGCTCTCCTGATGTAATCCATGGCATGAAGACATGTTCTTGGATCTTAGTGATGCTACTCATGCTACGGCACTCAACTGTTTTTTCACTTAGCTCTCTCATTGTATAAATACCTACCCTCAGATTGTTACATGCTTACTTTGCTTGCAATTTTTTTTTGCTTATGTCTCCTTACTCATCCTTAAATTCCTTGTGTTCCTTAGTTCAGAGTGTGATAGAATTCATTAAGTCCCTTGAGCTCCTTTACTGCCTTATGATGTATGCTAAGTCAAAAAAGGCACAAAAAGCCCACCCATGTTTTCCTGATGTTGGTTGCTGAGGCAACTAGCACAGGAATCAGGAGGGATGCAAATGATGGGAGTGGGGGAACTTGGTGCTCGTGTCATTTGGCTGATACCGCTTCTTTGACAGATGATTCCATGTTGTTGAGTGATAAGTGTGGGTATGGGTTGATGGTACAGGTATTGGTACAATGGGTAGGACCGGGAAATGTTATTGCAGGCTTGTATCACAGTGCGGATGATCAGGGCTATAGTTTGATTGTGTTAAGCTGGCGGTTTCCGAATGAGAGTTACTTCACTGAATGTTTTCTTGAATCTACTTGTAGCATTCAGGAACTTGGCAAGGTGTGGGGTTGCACTGGGATCTGACAAGAGGAAGGGCAATGAGGAGGCTCTTCGTCCGAGGGAGTTTGTGAGTGCATGACATGCTTGGCAATAATGTGGACATGCAATTAGAAGGTGGAGTATGGTTTTGTCGGTGTCTGGGCAGTGGGGGCAGTGAGATGAGGGGGCTTTGCCGATGTGGTGGAGGTGGTGATTCAGAGGGGTGTGTCATGAACAAAGGGCTATGTAGAGGCCTGTGAGACATTTGGGGAGTTCAGTAGTGAGCTTGATGAATGACCGGCGCAGGATCTTGGGGTCGATGTTATTGATACGATTGAATCGCAGTGACTTGTGCCATAACCTTCCCCATCTATGATGGTTGGTCTCCTTGTGGGCCACTATAAGCACTGAGATGCTGAGGGGAAGTGAACTGTAACAAAGAGTGGTAGGGAGATCTTCTGGTGGACTATTGTTGTGTGGTCCTTCCAACACCTTCTTTGCCTGCTTGTCCGCCTCCTTGTTGCTATGCACATCCTTGTGTCCTGGTACCCAGTGGAGGGTGACATTAAAGTCATGATGATCTCTTGCGATGTCCTTTAGTCTATTGCAATACAAGTCAGTTAAGTAGGAACTGGGATGTAAGTGGAAACTTTCACCAGTTTGGATTGCTGCCTGGTTGTCAATGAGGATGGAGATGGGGAATATGGGGTCGATTTTGGTTGCAATGAATTCAGCTGCTAACATGAGGCCTACTGCTTCTCCTTCAAAGACCATATGCTCCTTCTTGGTTCCTAGATGGAAACAAAGTACTCTTGGTTGATGTCCTGCACAAAACAGTACTGCTGCTGCACCTATGTTGCCTTGATATCCCAATCCATCGCTGTATACTTGGATTTCATCCTTGAGCTGTGCGCATTCTTCTATTGCCCATTGCTTGGAGGGAGCTATTCTGATCTTGTGTGGGTTGGAGCTGTGGGGTGGTTTGCATGTGGGGAGGATGGTTTCGATATCATGGGGAATGATGGAGAATTGACATGTGAGGCAGTGGAGGGAGGTGTGATGGGAGCCAACATAGCGATTTGCAGCCCTGCGAATAGGGCTGTGCAGGGGGTGGGAGCTTGGGTGCGTGGTGAGACAAATGATTGATTGGCATGGGTTTCGAGTAGATCCATGGCTGGTGTGCACATGGCTCCGGTGATTGCCAGAGCTGCAATCCATTGTACAGAGGTGAGGCGCTTTGCTGTTCCAATCAAGCTGTGTTGAAGTTGATCTGAGTGATCTCGGAAGGAGGGGGTGAACCAGAGGTCGGTGGCATAGAGCATTTTTGGAAGAGCAACTGCTTGGTAAAGTTGGCATGTCAGATGTAATGGCAGTCCTTTTGCAACTGAAGAGAGTCTATGTAGCTGGAGTGTATATGCCATGCCTTTCACTATTGCATTGTCTACTTGAGCACCCCATCTGAGTTCCTGATCTACAATAACTCCCAGAAAACGATGAGTAGCAACAGGGCGGATTATCGAGCCTTGAATATGCATATTCGGGCATTCCTTTTAGTGGTTCATGGAAAAATCTATAAGAGCAAATTTGTTAGTCTCAAATTTGGAATTATGCAGACATGACCATTTATAACCCCCGCCAGGCCTTTCCAGCATATCTAGGAGTGTTTCATGTGTAGATTTGAAGTCTTTGCCTATTGCAATAAATGCGGTGTCATCGACAAATGTGAGCATAAGTTCCTTGAGTGCTGCATTGCCTTGGCATGTCTTTGCGACATCAACTAGATCTGAGCTGTAGATTATGTAGAGTATCATGGAGAGTGGGTTGCCTTGGCCGATACCATTGTTGATAGGAATCCAATTGGATGTGAAACCATCAAATTTGAGTTGGGTCTGTCTATTCATTAGTACTCACTCCGTGAATTTAACTATGTCCCTGGGTATGCATCGCATATGCATGTTATGAAGCAACTGAGGAGTGACTGCATTTGGAAATGCACCTTCAATATCAAGAAAGAGTGCTGAGGCTACCTTACCAGAATGCCAAGCATTTTTGACTGTTTCTTCTAATAGATGCAGTGAGTCAGTTGTAGAGTGGCCCAGTCTTCCTCCAAAATGTGTACTGGGAAGCAGTTGGTGTTTCTCTAAGGTGAATGTTAGTCTTTCTGCTACAACAGCCATAAGTAGTTTTCTCATGGTGTTCAATAGTGCGATAGGACGATAAGCTTTCGGGACCAAGTAATCAGGTTTGCCAGGCTTTCATAAGACAACTGTGGTGAATTGGCGCCATGGTTCATAATACATATGGTATGTGAATGCTGCATTGAAGAGGAGTGTGAAGTAAGGAGTCAGTGTCTTGGTGCATTGCTTGTATACTATGTTGCATATGCCATCCAGACCAGGTGCCTTGAGTCTGTTGAGCTTCAGGATTGCGCATGTGATTTCAGCCGAGGTGAATGGGATATGCGGCTCAACTGGGTCGGGGTATATGATATCTGGAGGTATGAAATTGTTAGTGGGGGGCAGTGGAAAAAAGGACTTAGCAATGAGCAGGCTTTTGTCATGGTTATTGTTTGCTTCGTGTGTTGAGCCGTCTGGATTCTCGGTCTTGAGGGTTGGGATCCTAGTTTTGCCACCATCTTTTGGGTCAGAGGAGATGTACCTATTGGTGGTCCATAGATCATTACCTTCAATGTTCTCCAACCAGTCTATCCAATGCTGCTTCTTGGTCGATTCGATCTCCTCTGTGTAATGATTCTTGAGGTTGCGCAGGTCTGCATGGCAGGGATGAGTCGGTAGTCCACAAAGTTGGTATGCTAGTCGGCTGAGGTTGTTGACCTGTTTGCGTAATTTGGTCAGCTTGTGGGTCCACCAACGTTTCAAGTGCGGGCATGGCTTTGAGTGTGGGATTTTTGCTTCCATGGTGGCAGTGATGGCATGGGTAAGGCGTCTGGCTGATTCTTGAAATTCTGCTTCAGATGCTAAAGGGCAAGGGGGGTGAGGCATTAGTAGACTTTCCAAATGTTCATTAAAGTCCTCCCAGTCGATGTCTCTCCAGTTTCGTCAAGGCTTGTCTGCTGTCTTCGATGTTTGGAGATCAAGGGTGAGTTGGATGGGGACATGATCCGTGCAGGGGCCACATTGTCCAGGGTCCGTGTCGCAAGAGATTACGGTATCAACAATCCATTCTGTCCCAAAAACGTTATCCGGTCTAGTCCAATTACCAGTGGAGGATGATTGCAAAGTGGGGGTACCAATGGGGAGGAGCTGGATCATATTATAGTTAGTGATTAGGTCAATTAGAGGACTTGCCACATCATAATTAAAAAGGTGCCGGTTTCGCGTTTCTTCCCATAATGGGTGGTGACAATTGAAATCGCCCATCCAGAGCATGTGAGTGTCTTCCGAAGGTTGGATGATGGTGATGTTGCATTCTAAATAGTCGTTAAGTGCCAGTAGGGTGTCTTGCAAGGTACTGTCGTTATAAATGTTGAATATGGTGCATTGGCCATAGTGGCCTGAAAGTTGAATGATGACTATGTCCAACGATGGATAAGATATCTGTTTCCAGGAGTTGGAGTCAAGGGATGTATTAATGAGTGTGATGGCATGAGTGCATTGCTGCGGATGGGTGTAATGATTAGTAGGGTATAAGACATGCCAGGTGTGGTTAGCGCTTGTATTATGGAGGAAATTGATGTAGGGCTCTTGGATTACCATTATATCCCAGTCTGATGCCAACTTGTTATTGAGGAGCAAAGCTTGAGCTGTTAGGGATTTGTTGAGATTTTGCTGCCAGATATGTAACATTGTGCGGTTTTCGTTGGGTCCTTCAGGCATTAATGAGTGACATTGGGGCACTGCTGTCGGGGGGGTGGATGGCGTCCCCAAATGATAGTCCCTGTGTGATTAGGTCATGAATGGAATCATCTTGAGGGAGTTGGGGGGATTGAGTGTGAGTGCGGGACCTGGGTTGTGATTGCCTAGAGAAATTAATGGTGGATTGCTGTGTGTGTGGATACATGTTCTGGTTCATAGGGCGAGGTGGTGAATTTTGACTGAGGTCAGGGGTGTTCAAGGGCTCCGTGGCCTTTGGGGGTCGAGTTACCTGTGTCCATATGTGCTCAGTAGGGAAGTACAGCATTCAGTTTTCAGGAAATTTGTCATCTATGTCCTTGCAGCGCCTGATGAACTCTGGACAAGTTTGGTTCCAGCTGGTATGCTGTTGGCTTTGACAGTTGACGCAACAAGTTATTCAATAAGAATTGCATGTGGATGTCTTGTGGCTGTCACCGCAAGTGCCACATACGTCTTGCATGGCTGAACAGTTCTTCACAATATGGTTGAATTTCTGGCATTTGGCACATCACATAGGTTCCCTCTTGTCCTTTCAAATACTGACGTGCTCGTTGTTGATACAAATACCATCTTGTAGTATATTGTTTGCTACATGAATGTCAGTAATGTGCATTAGAGCAAAAGCTTTCCTCTGTTCCGCAGTACATTTCGTTGGGGGCTTGATCCATCTTACACTTGCTATTGTGTTTGGTGGGAGGTTGTTTTCTTGCTCTACTTGTGTTGGGAAACCAGCATCATCAATCTGTAATTGAATGGGTAAATATTCCAGGACTATTGGGTAAGTGCGGTGGCGAAACAATACTGAGATGTCCAGATTGCTAATCAGCACTGTTTTACCTTCCGTCATATTAAGCCAGGATGCCAATGATTCGGATTCTAGTTCTGCAATTAACCCTCCATTTCAAAGCATAGTAATGGCTTTGACTTTTCTTTTTGGAGTGGAGTCGTTGCGTGTGCTGTCCAGGGTGTCATTGAGCTTTTTTGCGATGTCATGCTTGGGGGTGTCTGGTGGGAATAAAGATTCACCAGGTAATGGATCAAGTAAGATCTCATGGACTCTGATGGCCACATGGCCAAGCGCTCTGTCAATCATGGGAGACAGATGAGATGTGGTGATGGAGCTGTAGGATGGGTGGGAGGCAGTGGGTTGAGCATTGGGCATAGGGGCAGAGATTCATTGGGACATGGAATTGACTTGATCTTGCATAGCATCCAGGGAGGGACCAAGGGATTTGATTGCATTCTGGCATGTCTCGACATATGAGAGAAGTGTGTCTGCAGATTCATCAATTCATTCCACTGCAGTCTTGATGTTGTTTTCATCTTCATTTCATTCCCTTTCAATCTTGGCATGTAGTTTGGTAGCCTGTTCCAGTGAAGCAACTAACAATTGGGAAGCTGAGTGGACAAGGGCGACTTGGGGGGAGATGGCTGCTATGACATGGTTGACCATTTTCGTGGATAGGGATTCTGTGATGCATTCTGCGACTTTCCCCATAGCTTTTTCTGCAACTCATTCTGCGATCTCATCTGTCACATGATCCTTCATGATGAAGGCTACTGCTTGAATTGCAGCAGTGACAGATGCAGGGATAGTACCTGACATCTGCATGATCTGAAAGAGAATGGAAATTAGGTGTGTTAGTGTGTAGGGTTCATCAATTAGACAGAGTAGTTTCGATTCAAGGTATTTCTTTCCACTATCAGCGTTCTTCACCATGTTGGCCAGCATTTCTATGGCTTCCTGGGATAACATTGCTCGTGTGGTTCAACAAGTATTGAGGTTATAAGTGGGTGAGGAGGTGCATGATGTGGGTGTTGAGCTTGCGCTCATGCTGGTGCTTCTTCAGCCCCCTGGCATCTGGGTGTCTAGAGTACCAGAGGATAGACAAGAGTTTAGGTTTGTGTTGAAGGATTGGGTTTTGATTGTTTGCTGTGGGTGGCAGGCCACCTGAAGGTGAGGAGAGTGCTGTTGAGTGCGATGTTGACAAGGGTTTTTCGGGGTCCTAGTCGGGGTGCCACTTGGTCAGGGTCCAAGACAAGAGGTGGGCAAAAGGCAAATCCCGGATATAGGGCTCGACATTACTAAGCTTGTAAACCTTAATATACAGCCACCCGAAGTTTCAAAACATAAGTTCTGAGTTTCTCGATAGCGGCCTATGTTCTTCGTCAAATCGCTAGTTGAGTACAGAAAGTGTGGTATAATCAGTACTATAGAATACATCTAGATACTTATTTTAATAAGAAGTGTGCGTTGGGGCACACTGATAAAGGAACGATAATTTCTAGATGTAATTTTGAGAACATGTGACGCAATAAGCAATACAACGCGTCAATATCAATGTGACGCGTCTCGTCGACGCGTTCTTAATGTCTGATATCTCTCCATCGTCCTAGCATCATCAGCTTTCACCAAACCATTAGACTTACATTAGACCATCGCATCATGTATTCTACAGCACAGAAGATCCGCTGAGTTGCTTTTGATCCGTTGATATCCTTCGTAGTGCCTTCATTATGCTTTCTATGCTTTGAATTCACATAACCGTAGTCTACAAATTGTACTCGCAACTACAATATCACATTCATTGTACTCTCACTTCAATCACTCGCATTTAACAATGTTCTTCGTATTATTTTGGCCGTTGGAAGTCGGAAGTAATTACTATATATGGTCTAATTAGCGTGACCATAACGCTGTAACGGTGGTGGTGGTGGCATGCGAAGTTTGTCCAGGTTGATATCAAATATTTGAATTTCCCCTACCTCTTGCACCTGACGACACACAAATTGCCACTGGAGGATTCAAGGACGGAGTAAAAATCTGGGATGCGAAGACGGGCGGGCTGATTGCCACACTCGAACACTATGGATTAATAGTTAGCAGCTTGGCCTGGACATCGGACGGAAAGAGACTTATCTCCGCATCATATAGCCCAATTAGGATATTCAACACAGCCACTTGGCAGCAGATCGCCATTCTGGAGGGTCACAAATACTGGGTCAATGGCATCTCCTTGTCTCAGGACAACCGCCTCCTCGCGAGTTCATCAGATGATAAAACAGCACGTTTATGGAATCTTGACACCAACCTCCCAGTCGGTCCACCCCTCCAGCACGAGAGTAAGGTGGAATGCGTGGCCTTTTCTGCTGATGGAACAATGCTGGTCACCGGGAGTCGCGACAATAATGTGTATGTGTGGGACATTCACGCCATCCTGAAACAAGCTAGCCTTGAAGGCTCACCAACCATTGGTACTAATATTGTGGGTGTTAACATATCACCCACTCTCTCACCAACCATATTTGCTGCTCACACAGAAGGCTTCTCAAGGAATAGAGCGCACCCCCTGCTCCTCGCTGAGCGACAAGTCATTTTTGGAAGTACGTGACGTATTTCCAACCCTTCTCATGCATTATAACGACATTCCAGGCCGATGCTACGCAATGTCATGATGAATTTGGGGGTGTTGACGAACTCTCACCACGGTTTTTTGACGGTATGGAAGCCTATGATGATGTACGTCATGAGCACTTCTATCAATGAATTCGTGTTCAGATATCTGTGTGATTAGTCCTCCCCAACGGGTGGTGCCCACCCTCATTCTTCTGCAAATGCACTCCTCACTCGCCTTGCCTCGCTCTTCCACCGCTTTCAACCTGACAATGCTGAAACAAATGAACTTCCGCAACCCCCAACGCTTTCAAGATTGCATCCACGTGTGCTCTTCGCTCACCTGTCGTCGCTCATTCACGGCTCTCCACCTGAAAATGATGCAACAAACGAACCCACTACGCCTTCGCGGTTAGATCTACATGCACTCCTCGCTCGCCTGTCCTCGCTTTTGCCTCAATCCCGACCCAACTCCAACGAGGAAACCGAGTCTCACCCCACAACCTCTTTGGGTTCACGTCCAGATGCACTCATAGATATCCTGTCCTCACTCTTCCGCTCTCAACCACATATCAACGAAGAAATCGAACTTCTGCAACGTGCAAGTTGTCCTCATGTTGTCGACGTGGCTCCAATGCGGGACAGGGAGGTATGACTTTATCTGGTGTTTCAGTCTCTGGTGTCTGATGATCTCCACGCAGGTATTGTTTGTTGCTGCACGGTCGCTACCCACTCAGCCTAATGGCACTATACCAGGTGCAAGACCTGCGTATCCACTACTCGTCCGATTGTTGGCTCATCTCGTGCTTTTTCTCTGCTGTGCGTCTCCTCAACACGCCGATGGCAACGCACAATCGACACAGCAGCAGCAAGGTCAATCGCAAGGCCCGGTCCAGACCTAAGCATCGTCACTGCGGCAGACTCAGCCTGCCGCCTCCTCGACGTCTACGACACCTGCCGCTTCTGGTATTCATACTGCTGCACCGGTTACAGCAACCGCGCAGCCACGGCCCCTTCCATTGCAGGCTCGTTTTATTCTTTTTCTCTGTTGTGCATCTCACCCGCATGCAGATGGGCATTAATATTGCAACAATGGACACCTTATCTCATCTGATTATTCTATCATCTCTTTGTTCACGGTGTGTGTGTATTTGAATTCCACAACTTCCCCAATCTCGGCTTGGCCTCAACGATATGCCGGCAAACCTAGCATTTAATCTCAAAAAGTCCCCAGAAACATGACTTAGTTGTAATTCCTTGTGCTGCACATTTCGTGCACCAGTTACTCCATCCCTATCTATTCCTCAAGTACCCGATTTCCAAGTATGTACATCATGCCTTGGACCGGATTGTTCCCTTGCACAACTGCGCATGTCCACCCTCCAAACCGCACTTCCTGCAAGGTGCAAGCTGTGCAAGCTGTCCAGCTAGTTCCAACATGGCATGTTGATCTCGCGGTGATTTTCAGCTATATAATTTTCCCCGGTGTACGGGCACTGGCAAGATGTATCCGTGCCAGCGTGTGGGCCCGTGGCCATGCAACCTGTGCGTGGGATCCACGAGACGTGTCGACCTGCTGCGACTAGTCATTCTGTTTCTCCCTGAAAATGACGCTGACATATGACGCTCCAAAGCGTACTTTAATATAGTGCGCGACACACAACATCGAGTGCGCGACACACTATTGAGCGCGCGATACACAACATCAAGTGCTCAACGTACCATCTATTCTAGTGAACTAGACGACCGAAATCTTCGAAGTTAGGCTCGACAATTAAGTACTTCACAAGATCATCAGCTGTACGAGTAATAAGTTTTCGCTCATGATCAAAAGCACTGTGAGCTTTCACAATATATAACACAGCCTTCCAGCAGTCGAGATTGATTTGTCCGATGTCGAGTTTCTCGAAGCGTTCGACGGCATCCTTGTAAGGCTGGGGATTTCGTCCGTCCAGTAAAAATCTGCCCATTCCGTTCCACCACAGCTGCTTCCAGTCATCCTCGCATAGTTTTTGCTTCGTGCAAGTTCCCGCGTGCACCATAGGTGGGGCTTCACATGCAATGATCCGACGATGTACATCGAGTCGTTCCTTGACTTTGAACATTGTGTTCCATACAACGGACCCAACAGCGCGAAATTCCTCGTCGGAGATATCATTGATGCGAGCTGAAATGAGTCGTTCGAAAGCATGCGGCAGGATCTCTTTGAGGTTGTACTTTAATGCGAGTGAGATAAGTCGTGTTGGCTCAAGCGAGTAACGCTGCCGCTGGAGATGGTGAACAGCATAGACTCGTGCATCTTTGCAAAGATACATGTCGCTCAGCTCGAGCAGTTGAATAACAGCTTTGTTACATATTTTGAGGACATCAGGCCTCCATCTGTATGGTATAATTGTCAGACTTGTCCGAGTTGTCCGTTGTGAAAAAAACTTGAAAAAAACTCACTTGTTGTAACAGACAGACAAAAATAATTCAAACGCACTTTCGCTTACTTACGACGGCACACAAATAGGCCTGTCATCAGTACTACCATCGACCTGTTCAAGTTGGGTGCCCTGGCTTGCAGCGAACATGTCTCGGAAAGCAAGTGATTTATCCCCGAGAATGCTTGCATGCACCCTAAAGAGTGAGTGTCCTGCCTAGTAGTAGTACACTGTCAGTCCGCGGTATCCACTATGAGACTATTCAGATACTAAGTGGTGCACGAACCTGGAAGATGTGAGTGCCATCTGAGAAGTAGAACATTTGATGGTGTCGAGCAGTCATTGAACCACTGATAGTTGCAAGGTTGACTAGTAGAATGAAGAACAGCTTGAAAGAGATGACTTGAGTGAGTAACTCGTTGTTAGTAATAAAACCGGACACAGAAAACAATGCCTTGACCACGTCACCTGTGAATTATGCCTTGGTGACAATTTTATTACCCTTCCAACCTGCACTGACTCGGACTCTCGGAAACAATGGACATAAACAGTCCTTCATTGTCACTTTTGCTTCTCCCTGAAACCAAAAATTGGTCAGCAGAAATCCAAGCTGCCTATGAGAATATCCAACACACTTATGATCATGCAATCCAAGTTCTTCGAGCAGATGGAGCTGACCCTACCTGTATTGCTTTCCATGTGGATGCTATCTCATCAAATGCACTTCCAATCCTCGAAGCACTCACACCAGATGCTGATAACACAGACTTGGATGAAATGTCAGAGTCTCTCCCAGTCAAATGGTTAGCTGATGTAGCCATGGTACTTGGCTGTGTAGTTTCGGGTCTGGAACACCTAGGGACTACTGCAAATGAGGAGTAAGCCTAAATTTTGATAGATACATGGATACTGAGACAGGATCTTACAGAGAGGAGCATTGTGTTGATATACCAGAATTAACTGGAATTGAGAACACGGGAAAACGAGGGCAGCCCAAAAAAATAATAGACCTTGATTTCTTGATTGAGGCCACCTCTGCTCAACATCACATCAGACATGTTGAGCTAGCAAAGATTGTTGATGTTCATCCAGCAACATTACGGCACTACATGCATCAACACAGCATTGAAAGGTGCTATTCTAACCTTTGTGACCATGACCTTGATGCTTTGGTGAAGATATTCAAATGTTGTAGACCAGAGTCTGGGTTTCAGTACCTTGTTGGTTTTCTTCAACAACAAGGTGTCTGTGTACAACATAGGCAAATTTGGCAATCCCTACAATGAGTTGACAGAATTGGATGCCAATTCAGACGCCAACAAATTATTCAAAGAAGGAAATATAAAGTTAAGTGTTCCAATGCTCTTTGGCATTTGGATGGGCACCATAAGATGATTCAGTGGGGATTTGTTGTCTATGGATTTATTGATGGTTACTGCAGAACAGTATGTCACAAGTCCAAGTCCAAGTCATCAGAAATTAATCATGGCTCGTCCAAGTGGTTGCACTAGAAACAAGCACAAATAATCATGCTACAACAGTTCTCGATTTGTTTCTCAAAGCACAAGAAGAGTATGGTATGCCATCACGTATGTGAGGTGACCATGGTGGTGAAAATATTGATGTTGCCACTTATATGGTCATGCAAAATGGCCCAAATCGTGGCTCATTTATGTGGGGATCGTAAGCCTAGTATCATCATTTGATCCTTTGGGTGTTTTTCTCACACAAGTACCACAGGTCAACTCGAAATTCGAGGATTGAGCACCTCTGGGTTGAAGTAGGAACACAATTTGTGAGATGTTGGAGGGCATTCTTTAGCCATTTGGAAAGACTGCACAGGCTCAATATTGAGCAAACAGGTCATTTGTGGCTTCTCCAAAATCTATTCTTGGATGCTATCAATGACAACTGTAAGACCTTTCGTGAAGAATGGAACCTCCATCTAATTGCTGGCCCATCAACAAACAATAAGAGTCCACAAGTGAGATTTCACATCAAAAATTTGAACATAAAGTAACTGACACCATATTCATCACAGGATTTGTGACTGATAAGCCAGGCAACACTTGGTATTTACCGAGACAATTGTGACAGAGTTCATCCAGACACAATTGAACAATACTATGGCACTCATGGGTGAGAGCAGACTCGTCATCATGGGCAGACTGGTGCTGGCCATCCTGATGATGAAGACACTAATTCAGAGGATCAGCTCATCTTACAGATAGAAGAAGACCAGGAACGGAATATTTGACATGCTGCTGTTGAAGTTCCTGGAAAGAAAAGCCCCTTTGAGACTCAGCATGACAAAAACCTTTTTTTTTCAACAGTCAAGCAAATAGTTACTGAGAGCATTGTACCAGAAGGTTATGGCTTGCTCCCTGATGAGCAAGGTGATGATGCAGCCATGATTGAAGTCTTACAATTTGGAAGGCACGGAACAAAATCAATTACCGTCTCATTAAGTGATCCTATCTGGGAAGCTTGTGCAACACTTTGGTGTCAAGGGTTATCAGCATTATCTTTGTTCGAAACAGAAGGATACTTGTAGTTACATGTAGTGAATGAATAAGCTTAGAAATTGATGAGACTTACAAGTCAATAACCAATGCTTATGCAAAATAAAAAAATCTATGACCCACACTGATTTGTTCTCCTGAACCATCTTTACTTCATTCCACACACTGCTATGTCTGATCACCATGAAGTATACTGCCAAGACTTTCATCAGGGAGGGCAAGCCTGCACCTGTGAATGCTTCACCCCACCCTCTAATCCTGATGCTCCGTACTACTGTCAAGAATGCCAACATGGCTTTAGCAAGCATCCCAAAGCTCTGGATCCTACAAGAGACACACCTCGAAAGCAAGATGGAACCACATCTGGAAAAAAGAGACTCATCAGCATATTCAAGGAAAAGACCAGCGCCACAGGGTCTGCAGCAAGATCCTTGCAATCTGCTGCCTCTTCCAAAAGCATGCTCGATCAGAAGATAGGTGTCAAGCAAGCAAGAGATGAAGTCATGAATGGATATAGAACTGGTTTAAATTCACAGAACAATAAGGTGTGCAATACACAATGACAAATGTGTGGCACTTACAAGTCAGAGCAGTTGCAATTTCATCGTGTTACCAGTAAAGCAAGGGCCATGAGCCAATTTGACTCCGAGGATAAAATTACCAAGGTCACACAATGGCTTCTCTTGGTGAATTGTCTTGATGTAAATTCAGAATATATATCTCATTCATTGCACAAGAAAAACTAACACAATATGTTGAAGGATGATGGTAACCTCATCAATACAATCCCACCATCATGGACGAAGTTGCACAACATGGAACACCATCAATGCGCACATATTGAGACTGCTAGCAGGTTTTCCTTCAGCCAAATGTGGACTCACGACAAAGTCAATCAATACCTGTAGAATGAAGTGTTCCCTTTGGCATTTGGATATGTCAATTTGACAGAAAAGGGGAAAGGAATTGGCATACCTTCTTTCCCATGGGTTTTGATAAGCAAGGAGAGGCTCCGCTATGATGTTGTAAATATCGAAAGGCCCGATGGCAATGATCTTGCACAATTCCGAGGTAGACCCAAGTGCCCTGTGAAAGATGCAAACATCATCATAGGTAAGAAGCCTCCATCTTATATAATTTCTCGATGCTAACCTGAATATCTTCAGCATTGTGGAGAAGAATTCCAGAACATGTCTATGCATCATGGGATCCTGAATATCGAGAGACGGGGGATGATGGAATGTTTCTCGACTCTGATGATGCTTCAAGTTTTGAAGCGGCGAAACCAATAATCTTAACACGTGCAGGTAAGTTTATTAATTTCAACCACTTACTTTTTATTTCAATTTATCCAACTCTCTAGCTGCTGCAAAGCTCAAACGTGGGTGACAAACATCATTGTCCATCGAGATTCTCTCCGACACGGAATACAAACCAGTCATCAAAAAAAATGAAAGGTGTGTTGTGTAGCTTGCGAAATATACTCTCACTTATTCATTATTCTAGTAGGCGCTGTGGTGAAGCATGAGCTTGAGGAGCCAGTGCCAGATCTCCGAGCATCCAGTATTGTTAATGCGGCCTCACAGGAGTCACAGCCTACGAAACGTGTGTCCCTATTTTAATGTAAATTTTCACTTTCTTAATTCACTTTAAATTCAGTTTTTTTAGAGAGTTCTAATGCAGATATCGATGAACTCCCTGATGTTATTCGACACCTGTCTCTGGCACCACAGACCCCAAGCAAAATACTATCCCCTCCACTAGCTCTTTTTTCACTGGGACACGTTTCGGCACCGCTGATTTACTTTCGACACAGTTTCATTCACCCATTGTTCAACGCCGTCGTGTTGCTATGCCACCCGACTTCGTAGAGCCCCAACCGTCTGATATCATATTGCGTGGTATCCGCGACCCCGATAGTCCATCTGCCCCTCCTCGTATTAATCCCTGGTCAGAAGATTATTTTATTGGTGATGTCAATATTGCCGTCTAATCTCTCGTGTCCTCTTGCCGTCTACTCAGAATCTTTTCTAGTACCATAATGATTACTATGGAGCCCTTAATGCCTATGCCTTGCTACTTTTTGTTTTCAGACTTAATACTAATAGTTACTAGCGCTTATAGTAGACTTGCTTGTTGAAAAATTCAAAATATTGACATGACTTCGAAGCTTCAAGGCCCAACCGAGTTGCTTTTGTATCGCGCACTCAATAGTGTGTCGCGCACTCGATGTTGTGTGTCGCGCACTATATTAAAGTACGCTTTGGAGCGTCATACTGACAAAGTGTAGGTCATTGAGCACACAAAATGATATCACAACCTCTCTGAACAAAATATTTGAGCATGCACGTGAGCACTTGGTGCTGATTCCATTGCCGATTACCTGTGCCAAATCACCAAGCCAGTATGTAGTGATTACGCATTGACTGGAGCCACTGGACCGAACGCTCATTTCCATAACCCTCTGATACTACTTCCGCATGTTCATCTCCTTGTCGAGGTACATCTTCAAGACGGTCGCATTTCAGTCGTACAGGAGTCTCCTCTGCGCATTTATATGCAGATCCTGGATTCCTGGTCGAGACCAGCGTAAGTCCTACTCTTCCACATCACGAAATCACTCGGAGTACAAAGTTTTACGCAACACCACTTTCTTCAGCAGCCCAGGAAAGCCTTAGGTGACAACGTACAAACCTTCAGAATATTCATTAGGTGACATACCCGCAATCTAGATGTCTTTGTGATGCTTCTGCAAGCCTAATCTCAGTTGTATGAGGTCGCGCTTATTATTAACGGAATAAATGAATTTAAATAGGAGATACTGAAGAAGCACTGGTGGATGCAAGATGGAGATAGTACACAGACATCTCGTGATGTCATGCTGCACAGCCTGCCAACATGTTGAAGATGTGGCGGCATCGGGTTGGAAATATGCTTCTAGAAACATGTGAGATGGAAAGAGATGCTGTTTGCCATCGAAGTAGTCCATCAGGTATAGAAAGATGCACCTGGCGCTAATCACAGACCTGTTCACCTCGTCTACACAGCAATTAAGCTGTGAAGCAAACACGAGGACAACACATGGAACGCACCTTGTTAAAAGACGGCATCAATAAGCAGGTGTCTGACTTGCACGACTCCAATCCAAACGCCCACTTATTGCTAGTGATTCGAGCACTGAACTTGTCTAGACTTCTCGTGAGTGATACTCTGGGCTCTTCTGAAACACATCCGCCTGCTTGCCAGTAAATTTGGACCACTAAGATCTCTGCCCATTCTCCAATACGCAACTCCTGTGTATACAGTGCCGAAGTCGACTTCTGGGTGAAAACTGGGCCCCTATAAGCAGTTTGTCTGGTGAGCGATGGCTTGTACCTTTCTATTAACGAAGCTGAAGTTAAAGAAGATAGGCCGGTCGACTTACCAGGAATATCTGCCGTTGTCAGATAACTCGTTCTAATTCGAAGATCCTTACAGTTCGGGGTTGGCCTCTAGGTGAGGATTGAATTCCTATAAGCAGGCTGTCTGGTGAGCGAGAGTTGAAGTCAAAGAAGATAGGGAGGTTGACTTCACCAGGAACATTTACCGTTGCCAGATAACTGTTTCGATTCAAGAATCCTGGCCGGCATCTCTCGTATAGATCTGGTATACTTCAGACGTTCCTCACGCTGACCATGTCTTCCAAGACCAGTACGAAGCAAAAGACACCAGCAGTTGCACCCCGTCAGACGATGCGAGGCCATACCGACGAGGTGAGAGGTATTGTGCACCTGCCCCAGGGACGACGCATCATCACATGTTCGTGGGATGGCTCACTGCGACTATGGGACTTGGAGAGCGGCGCACAGATAGGCGAGGACTGGCAAGATGACGAGGAGGATACAAGGATGCACGAAATCGCATTGTCTCCAAACGGCAAGACTGTTGTCAGCGGAAGTGGAGATGGGAAAGTGAGGTTGTGGGACGTCGAGACGGGAAAGGTTGTCACAAAATGGGCAGGGCACAATGGAGAAGTGTATTCGGTGTGTTGGAGTGCGGATGGTAAGCGAGTAGGAAGTGGATCCGAGGACGGGACGGCAAGAGTTTGGGATGTCAAGAGCGGAGAAACAATCCTGGAAATCAAGACTGGGCATATGTTCGTGTATGTGGTGATATACTCGCCCGACGACACAAGGATTGCGACAGGAGGACAGCCCATGGAGATCCAGAGCAGAATAGAAATCTGGGAGGCAAAGACGGGCGAGCTGCTCGTCACACTCGAACACATTGACCCAGTTTCCAGCTTGGTCTGGACATCAGATGGAAAGAAGCTTATCTCCGCGTCACTTGGCCCGATTAGGATATTCGACACAGCCACTTGGCAGCAGATTGCCATTCTGGAGGGTCACACAGACTGGGTCCGCATTTCCTTGTCCCAGAACGACCACCTCCTTGCAAGTGCATCACGGGATGAAACAATACGTCTGTGGAATCTCGACACAAACCTCCCAGTCTGTCCACCCTTCCAGCACGAAGATGGGGTAGAATGCGCAGCCCTTTCGACTGATGGAAAAGCGCTGGTCACCGGTAGTGACAAAAACAATGTTTATATGTGGGACATTCACGCCACCCTCAAAAAAGCTGGCTTTGAAGACCTACTCTCTATTCCTCGTGTGAGTCCAAGTACCACATGCTCTTCAAACCACACTAATTTCCCACTCGCAGGTCCCAGCTCGAAAGTCGTTAAAGGACGTACGTATCAAGTTTCTTTATCTTTTTAACCATTCTTAGCTCGACACTCTAGAGTGGTGCTACCAGACCTCCACCAATTCAAACCCGTCGAATACCCCCAAGATTTTTCGATGAAAGCGACATCTGTGTTCGTCGTCAGCGTTTTTCGAATCAGTTCTTGTTCTCACATCATCCAATCAGTCTTCCACATCCCGCGATGTCCATCCCCTTTCCTCCCATCGCATTCTCGCACCCTCTACAGGGGGCCTACGCGCGCTCCTCGCCCGCATTCCGTCGCTCTTCCGTCGTCCTCACCCTCACAACAGCGATGCAACTGAACTCCAACAAATCCCGAGGCAAGGGATTTTCTCTCTTCGCGGTCCTCGTACTGTCGATGTCGCTGCAGTACAGGACAGAAAGGTATTTCTTTCTTCGGGCGCGTGTTCATTCATCGTGGCTTAATCATTCCGCTGTAGCCCTTGTTTGTTGCTCCGAGGCCCAAAGAAACGCAGCAGCAGAGCAGCCAATCGCATGGACAAGGATCGTCGTCGCAATCTCGGCCTGTCGGTACTTCGACGTCTACAACACAACCTGCTCCAGATAGTGGCATTCAGGCTACTACACCACGTGCAGCAACCGTACGGTCACGAATCCTTACATTGTTGGCTCGTCTCGTGCTTTTGATTTGTTGTGCACCTCTCCCAAGTACCGATGGCCAATAATATTGCAGCATACGAATATATATATATTCTGTGTATCTCTACTTCTTTCGCTACTCCGTTAATCGTATTTTCCTGTCGTGGGACTCTCGCCGTGCATTGGACTCTAACACTTGCTAACACGGGGAACGTTCAAGGTATCCAAGCGGATGAACAGCCAGGGGCAATCTCTGCTCATTCAGACATTCATTATACTGCACTACACATACCGGTTTATCAAGTGAAATGTTGAATCAATCTCGGACGAAGTCCAGCTGATTAAATCCTCCATGCGACTCGGATTTGCTGAAGATCAGGGTATATACAACCAATGATCATCGATCTGGACAATCAAGACATTCCTTGTAGGCAAAACATATTACGATCTTGTGATACGCTGCTATGAGATACAGCTACAAGTGTTGTATTCCTGTCTCGATGGATACAAAGAGGGGATGGGGAGCCTATATCGCGTCGTTGATGAAGCCTTAGAAGTTACTATTGTGTAGTAGCATGATCACCTTCGGGATATGCATTGCACTATGACGAACCAGACAAAGGTATCACGTACTCTTAGCCACACCGGTGCTTACTATTCTCTTGAGTATCTGGGCAGTACTGGCTCGTCTAGGTCTGGTCAACAAACTCACCTTTCTCAAAGCCGAAGATACCATATCGACAGCCGACACGACCAACACATTACTCGCCTTCATCGACTCACGATCTCAGTTGGGTGTTCACCCAAGACTGATCATTGATAGAGCTACCTCGGTTGGGAGCAGCAGCATCGACGACAGGCTCGCGTGCGCCTAGACCGCGTGCCATGTAAGAAATCCCTACGATGGGAATGATGAGAGTTGATTCATAAAGAATGATAAGGGAGACTGAGAGAAGGTATTGGTGAGAGCATTTCTGTAAGGTCCACACAATCGCCTTGGAACAATACTTCGACAGACCGGGAAACGTTGTGGGACAGCAAAATCAGAGGGCTAGATCGTCCGGACGTCTATCGGGATGCAGCCAAACTTGATGCGAAAATTTTATCAATAATGAGCATGCGGAATCTTGCGACGTTCACATTACATGAGGTTCGGCTGAGATCCCAGCACAACATTCGGTCTCTTCACCACAATCCAGTACCGTTCGCAATCATATTACAAATCTACAATGATGAGCGCACCTTCCTTCTTCCCGCCTGTCAATACTGACTCCAGGCCCTGACCTGATCCTGCCCGAGTGGTAGCGAAGTTCCTTTCTGGGTGAGACCGGGGACTAGACTATCTCGCCACCCTCCGTCCTAGCAGCATCATGGCCATTCAAAACCAGTCTAGACTGTCCATTAAGTAGCGGTTCTGGAAAGTTCATCGGATTCAATGTCGTGTATATTGATAAGTGCTCATGAAATGTTTCCAGATGTCAGCTTCATGCTGAAATCACAATGGACATGATTTACCTGGACTGCACGACTGCGTACCCTTCGTGTTAGAAGGGGGTCAAGGTTTGTGGAGCGTTAAAGAATCAAGAAGTACAAAGGGAGCGCTAGATAGGACTGTTGTCCAATGGAGTTCACCCTGGTAATAGGCGCTACGAATGTGGAGTGCCAGCATCGAATAGGATTGGCTGGTTTACATCAGAGTAAAGAATTAGGGTGGGTACAGCAAGTCTTAGTAGGACGGTGCACAGCCTGAGTTGACGACACTGAGTTCGAAGTTGGCTGGAAGAGCGCTTCGCTTACACAGCATTTGAGCTGTGAAGCGAATACGAGGATGACAGGTG